TATGTTAGGTTCTTTTATTCAAAGAACCGAACAACAGCTTCTATTCTCACTCACACACTCAATAGAAGAAAAGAAACTGTATGTATGTGTATTTTTATTTCCTCTGTAATGTGTAGAAAGAAAAATACAAGTATAGATCTCCCCCAAGGAAGCCTCCCTTCCTCCACTGGCCAATAGGTCCAGTCTAAACCCAAAATAATATTAGATACCCTCCTCAACAACTCAGCTTTTATTTTATACTCTCTCTCTCCCCCTAACAAACTAACAACCTTTTCCGCTATTTACTTCCCTCCCCTTTTATTCCTTCTTACATAAACTTGCAACTTCCTAACAAAATATATCTAAATCTTTTGGTTCTTTTGCCAAATTGGTTTTATTCATTTCATGTCTTTGTTTTGTGATTTTTTCAATGTTTGGTATGAAAACTTATAAAGAGGAACTTGATTGTTTGAGAAGAATGATTGAATCAATAACTACCTCTACTGGATCATATAATTTGTCCATGAAAGGTAAGAGTATATTTAATATTATTGGCCATTTGTCTCAAGGTCTTTGAATTCTTAATGCAGGAGCAACTGATCACATGCCTCCATTTCCTAAGCTCTTCAATTTGTTTGTCAAAATAACTACAAAACAACTCATTGTAGTTGCAAGTGGTGATAGTGTACCAACATGTGGGTCTGGGGAATATAACTTTAAAATCATTTATTGTATTAAGGAATGTTTTATTTTTTACAAAAGACTGGCTACAAAAGATTTTATTTGTTCAGTAGATTTTTTATTATTGGGATTTTCAGGACCTTCCTACAGGGAAAATGATTTCAATTGCTAAGGTGCAGAGTGGGTTGTACCTATTGGAATCTAAGGACCAAAACAAACTAAAGGTCATAAACGAGCAAGCAACATTAGAAAGATGGGCAAGTTCCCAAATATGGTTTCATCATAGAAGGCTTGGACCTCCATCATTCAACCTTATCGAGTCCTTGTTCCCTTGTTTGTTTAACAAAGGGTATGTTCAGTTTTCAAATGTGATGTTTTGCTAACTATTAAAGTATCACCGTGCATCCTATTTCATCTTTAATAAAAAGAGTAATTTTCCATTTGAGTTAATTCTCAATAATGTTTGGGGACATATTTTAGAATCTATTTCTAGAGTAAAACGGTTTATTACTTTTATTGATGATTAAACTAGTGTTACAAGGACATCCATTACGAAAAGTAATTCCGAAGTCTTTGAAATCTGTTAATTTTTCTCATATTGTCTAGAATCAATTTGGAAAAAATACATCAAAATAATCAGATGTGGTAGTGTGGTACTGAATATGTGAATTATGAACTTTCCACATTTTTGTCTCATTTTAGAATTGTTCATGAAGTAATGCACTTAAAATATTGTCCATAATTCATTACAACTTGATAAAATAAAACATTGAAATTGACAAACACTCTATAAAAGATAATCTTGAAAGAGGTCTTGTGGTTACAACCCATGTGCCTACAAGACTTCAAATAGGGGACATTTTCACTAAAGGACTTCCTTAGAGCAAACTCTAGTAGGTAAGTTGAAAATGATTGATATTCATTTACAAGCTTGAGGAGTATTGTAAATAATGGATTATTAATAGAATTAAAATATCCTCCATATCTCCATGCGATTAGGAGAAAATATCTTTATAATCTTCACATTCATTTCAGAGTAATTATTTTACTTTAAAGGGTTTGAATGTGAGGACATTTTCACTAAAGGACTTCCTTAGGGCAAACTCTAAGATCTTGTAGGCAAGTTGGAAATGATTGATATTCATTTACCAACATGAGGAGTATTGTAAATAATGGATTATTAATAGAATAAAAATATATCCTGCATATCTCCATAGCGATCAAGAGAAAATATCTTTATAATCTTCATATTCATTTGAGAATAATTATTTTATTTTAAAGGGTTTGAATATTACAAATAGAGGTAATGAGAATGTAATCCGTATGATCATTATTTATTGAAGATTCAATATCGATTAAAGAAATGGCCAAACTATACTATATTATAGAAACTGGATTAGAAACTCAAACAGAGAAAACTGAGAATTTCGGATAGAAGTTTCAGAATTATTACAGAAACACCTCTGGCCCTTTGAGGGTCCAGAAACCTCCTATTATTCACTCATTTTCCTGTCCTTCCCCCCAAAACACACCTATATATACAAGCTTCCCAAAAACATAAGTACTAACAGATTTTAAAGCTCTTTTAATTAAAACAAACAACTGTATTTTCCTTTAACCTTATTTCTTCTTTAATAGACCGTTGTAATAGGTTATATCCTAGCAGTATATAATAGGAGGTTATATCCTAGCAGTATATAATGAACGCAAATCTCACCTTATCAAGATAGTTTTATGAAATTGAGTTAAGTTTAAACTCCACTTCATTAACTAAAATAATTCTTTATTTCCTTACATAGTTCAAGTCCCTTTCTCTCTTTAACTGGCCAACAATTACTATTATTGACACTAGGAGGATGTAGCAAACCGGTAGGCATCAGATACATATAATATTTTCTCATGCTATTGCTAACATTATAACCCTGATTCCATTGCACAATATGAACAGGTAAAACATTCAATCGAAAACATTTATTTACCATGTATATAAGAACCCCAACAAGATATCATGAGCAATTTGCAAACAAGAAACAAAACATTGACAATACTCATAGGAGTCATGCTAACACATACCTTTCTAGAAAGTACAGCAAGAATTTCCAATCTCTCGTTCCAAGATGGAAAGTCACAGAATAGAAGACGATCTAACCTACCAGGTCTCAACAGTGCAGCATCAAGTAAATCTGGTCTACTGCTTTCCAGGAAAAACAGATATTATAATAGCCAATGATTAATATCCATTTTCCATATGTTCTTACTATCACAAGAAATAGTCAGAACAAACAAGGATCAATAGTAAACTAATCGTAGCCAAATCATTATTACAGCTTAGAAGAGATGCTCGATACATGAAAAATATCTCATATATATCAAAATTTATTAGGAGTTAGAATAAGATGCAACAGTTGACATAATTACTGAGCTAAATAAGTAGGAGGATGTAAGGGGAAAATTTATTTTGTCGGTAATATTTGATAATTAAGCTTTGCTCTTTGTAAAAGGAAGAATCCCTTGTGAAAGGGAAACTACTGGAGAAGTGTTCTTTCTCCGTTTCTCTTTTCTATAAATAAAATCTTTCTTTGATTCATAAGATATTGCGATTGTAGGACTACAAAGTTTACTTCATTCAGCATCCTATTTTATTCTATAAATGCTTGCTAAAAAGTTTATCCAAACTAATCCTAAAGCCTGTACCAGAAATTGTCAACGTAACTAATCTAAATAAAGTATAAGCCAAAAAGCAAATAAATTTTGAATTTCAGTCTTCGTTAAACTTTATATCCTTTCAGCTAGTCTTTCATCCATGGACACTTTATCAAAATTTTGTTTTAATTTTGACAAATGAAAACATGATTGAGAAACTAACCTTGTTGCAGCAAACACAAATACACCAGTTAAAATCTCCACACCATCTAACTCGGTCAAAAACTGAAAATTGAAACATCTGAAGTCAGATTTTATTCAGTAAAGTTAAAGTTGAAAAAGCAACAAATATTTACTGACTTGATTCACAACTCGATCAGTTACTCCAGTATTGTCATGCCCTCTCTTGGGGGCAATGGAATCAAATTCATCAAAAAAAAGTAGACATGGTGCTGCAGCTGCTGCTTTAGAGAAAATATCCCTAACCTGAAACCAGCATTCAACACCCAGACCTAGTATGCAAAATCAATAATTTTAATTTGAAAGATTACAATATACTATAGACAAAACAAAAAAAAACATCCTACGTCACCTAATAAGAGACATCCATCATCAAATGGCTCACAGTGACAGTATAAAAAGCTAGTTAGCCAATTGAGATGTAATAACCTTCAGAAAAACCTTTCATTTTATGCAGAGTAATTGAGAAAATATAAGGATTAAAAAGCATATAAATAAATTCAAAAATAGCATACACCAATAATAACCCAGAGAAGTTCTTATTGGCCTCTTACAGCTTGTTCAGAAGCACCAATGTATTTGTTTAACAGCTCTGGCCCTTTTACTGATATGAATCGAAGTGAAGAAGCAGCAGCAGCAGCACCAACTATGTGAGTTTTGCCACAACCAGGAGGACCATATAAAAGGACATTTGACCGCAACCTCAAAGGTGCTTGTGCAAAAATTTTTGGAAACTTTGATGGCAGCTCTATCATCTGAAATAATTTAACCAACAATGTAAGATCATTCAAATGTCTGAGTATAGAGTAAACATACAACAAATGAGAAAAATATTGTTATTAGGCTGCCTTAATTGTTACTCTATCAACTAGAGACATGACTTACATTAGTTTTATAAGCTTAGGAAGGCCTCACCTTAATAACTAGTTTTGTGGGATTAAATCCGTCCTCCACTTGGCATACGCAAGTATTTTACAAATATAATAATACTACCTGTGGACTTAAATATAATAACAAAACTAGCTAATTTTACACTGATTAAGAATGTCTGCTATGTTCATTTAATGTTCTTAATTTCAACAAAATAAAGTACATTTTCAACATTATCCTTAGTCATATTTATTGAGATGATGCCCCGATTTAAACATAAGGGTATTTTTGAGATAATAACATTAAATAAGGTTGAGTTCATTGGAATTTTCTTATATATAAGTCCCATAAACATGATCATATTTTTATTTATATTTGAATCCAAAGGGAGGAACTGAAAAATACATGATACATAAAATCTAGAGAGAGAACAAGATTCTAATATTTCACTAAGTCATACCTCCTTAATAGCATTTCAAATGTCAACAAGACCACCCACATCATTCCATCCAGAACGGCCATCATCAGAAGCTGATTTTGTGATATCACGCATTGCAACTGGAAGAAAATCAAGCATTGCCTGAGAGAAATCCTCCCTTAGTATAGCTGGACTCTCATGTACATCAATGGAAGCATTAGAAGGCAGAAAACGGCGAACAGCAGAATGAACAGCTCTGTCAACTAATATTTCCTGGAAGGAATGAAAAATTAAATATTTGCATACTTGCAGCTGAGACATAGTAATCAACAGTTCATGCATTAATATTATTCAAATTGACAACCAAAGTTCTACATAAGCAACTGTTGTTCATCAAATGTAAATGATGCCACTAAGATAATAATAATAATAATAATGATGATGATGATGATTAAGTTTTGTATGAACACAAACATCTTTTTATGTTATTCAAGCTATGATAATGTAATTTGAAATTTCCTTAACTCTAATCTAGATCATATGCTAATGAAATTTGTGGAGGAATATTTCAATGAATGTTTCGAGAACAAATGCACCAACACCCCCTTTCTTCCTCTACCACAGATAATAGGGCTTACACCATGACAATGTAACTAAAAGAAAATATAACAACCCTAACTCATAAAAGGGCTTCCGTTAATCACACAAACTATGCCGTTTTTCTATTCTTGTTTGTCTTAAAAAAACTAACTCGTTAATGATATAAAGTATGAAATCTGCAGCTGAATGTTTATATCATAAATGCATAGACTTCCTGTTTTTTTTTCTAAATTTCTCTACTCATGCACACTTAAAAAAAAGAACCACATGCTAAAACATTCACAAAACTCACATTTAGTAATTTTTAGACCAGTGAAGCGAAAAAAATAACAACTTTCTACATGATAAATCTAAAAGGTAGAATACCAGATCATAACCATCATAACCATCACATTTTACAGCCACGTCAAGCAGGATGTCATCATTGCACTGCAAGTGACGCCTCTGTATTTCATGCTTCAACATAGCCCTGCGCTCAGAGGCTGCAGGAGCAGGTAACTTTATGTGAAAGTCAAATCTTCCTAATAAAAAGTGAATCAAGAAATCAGCTGCCTGAACATGAGAAATAAAAAGGATATAAGAAATGAAAGATAATGGTCAATATTCTGTTCAGATTTACTATAATGTGACAAACATATTACATACAAAATATCAAACCTGAAGAGCTTAAAGATTGTGGTATCTTCTCTAGTGATTGTACGGAAGCTATGAAGGCTATTGGTCCAAATCCACATGACTTTTGCCTCTTCTCCTGTTCAGTGTGCAACAGGAAATAGATTCAAAATGGTATTCAGGAAAGAAAAGTGTGTACTAAATTGATTTAGCAACAAAGAGAAGACAATCTTTTGCGATTAGTATGTGCTTCAGAAAGAATGTTTATTTCTACTAGGTGTAGAATAACTCTAACTTTTATCTAGAGTGTCTTGATGAGGAAAGTAATTGTATTTAGTAAAGTAAGTCCACTTTTAGAAACAATTTTGTAGGAAGTACTGAGAAAAATAAGAGGGCAGTACAAAAAGAAATAGCAAGGCATTCGGTTGTAAATAATAAATATCTTCAAATATTTAGAAGATCCAAAATTGATTGCTTTCCTCCTTAAGGGACTATTGTTCATCTTAGAAAAGACAATTTCAGTTGAGGAGACTTTACTATAGAAGGAAGTTTAAAAATAGAATGTTTATAAATAGACTTTTTGTTTGTTTTAGTGGGATAATCTTGGAACAGTTTGTGGCGACTGGGTTATCCAGTAGGAAAGGGGACAACTCCTTTGACTAATCTGTTTGCTTCATTTATTCCAGAAATAAATTCAGGGTTGAACCTTTTTCTATAGTTTTTCTTTTCTTCCTGAAATCCAACGTTAGTGTTAGGACATGGAGAGTGTACGAGAGAAGAAATAAACATTAATTGCCTAACTGCCTTAGAAGTTAGGAAAGGCGGGAAAAGAATGTATAAATAGCATTTGTTTAGTTGAGTGGGGGACTTTTGAACTGTTTGTGTTTCAGGAATTGTTAATCCTGTGGGGGAGGTTAGGCCCTCATTTGGTTCTCTGTACATTGTATTCTTGTTATTGTCAATACAAGAAGAGGTTATTCCTTTTGTTGTGTAATGTGTTCGGTGTGATCGCTTTAGTTTGTTCGAGGTTTCTTGAGTAGAAACCTATCAATTTGGTCTGACCTGCCGGATTCCAAATTGGGCGCGAAACGGAATGGAGGGAGCACGGAGGGAAGATTGGAGGCACTGGAGATCACAATGGAGGGGATGAAGGCGGAATTCGTCGCAGTGCGCCAAGGATTTGCACAACTAATGAGGATTTGAAGATGGGGGAACGTCAGGCAACAACAACGATGGTCGTTCAATAGCGAAAGTCAACCGGCCGTCCAACGACACCCAACGAGACGCGCGATGAAATTGGAGGAAGAGGGGCGGCGATCACAGGATATGCGAATAATTGGAGGAAAAGGGTATAAACAAGACCTTACTGTTGTATTTAAGATAATATCTTTAGAATCTTCCTAATTAGAGGAATCTATCATCTCTTTTTTTTATTTTATTTTTCCTAGTTTTCCTTAGTTTCCCCTATTTTCCTTTTTAGGAGAACCGAGATTATTAGACAAATAAAGTATGAGATGTATTTTTCTGATTTAGAATAAATAAAATAAGTTCTATTTTTCCAACCTTAGCCACGTTCAAAAGGGCTGGAACCTCTCAATTGGATCAATCGTAGCGACAGGTTTTCCCACCTAGGCGTAAGGCGGAGGAAGAGAAGGTGAAACTCGCGCACTAAGCATGGAAGACAACACGGGTTGCTTGTTCAAAGTTTTGAAAGAAAAGGCTAAGATCGTTTCTTTGGTAGGGGGCTTAAGTCAGCCATGAGCCCCGGTTTGTAGGTAATATGGGACGGATGTTTGAACGCTGGTGACGAAGGGTCTGCGACGGAGAACACATAGAAGATTATGTCAGAGTTTGAGATCTTGGTGGGGCAAACCCGTGGCGTTTCGGAGGAGCAGATACTGGGATACTTCCTCGCCGGACTGCGCGAGGACATTAAGGGGCAGATTCAAACTCACGATCCTCAAGAGTTGATGGTGGCGATGAGAATCGCGAGGGAAGTGGAGGACACTAGGCGTGGAGTGAGAGGGGGAAGTTGGAATGGGTTCAAGAATCTAAATTTGGGTCGTCGCGCGAACGGGATGTGTCGCAACGAAATCAGTCGGCCAGGAGGGACGGAGATCTAGTTCAGTGAGCAGAAGGTGATCGCGACGAATGTTAGCGACGCGAGGGGACGAGCAATACTAGTGAAGCGACACAGGGAAGAATGGTGAGAAACCTTCTCCTTGATCCGGATTTTCTGAAGAGAAAGGAAGGGGGACGATGTTTTCGGTGTGGGGGTCCTTTCGCACCTGGCCACCAGTGTCCAGAGAGGAGCCTACAGGAGGTGCTCCTGGCGGAGGACGAGGAGGAAGACGCGAGTGTAGAGGTGGCAGACCAGGACCAGAAACCCATGGAATTGTCGGTGTTTTCAGCGGAGGGGTTGACTCAGCCCAAAACGATGAAATTGGTAGGGAGGATCGGAGAAAGAAAAGTGTTAGTACTCATAGATAATGGCGCAGCCACAACTTTATCAATAACCGGAAATTAGCAGAGGAGCTGAAGTTGCCCATAGAAGACACGCCACCCTATCAGGTGAGTCTGGGTGATGGGCAAAGCAAGAAGACCTGCAGGTGTTGTGAGAAGGTGGTGATCACCTTAGGGGAGGCTGAACTTGAGGAGAGTTACACCTTTTGAACTGGGCAGTGTTTTGAGGTTATTCTAGGGGTGAATGGTTAGCCAAGATGGGAGAAGTGATGCTAAATTGGGGAGAAATGACTATGAATTACAGCCAAGGAGGCAAATTGTGAATATCAGAGGAGATATGCTTTGGCCAGGCAACTGGTAGAGCCTAAAGCCTTGCTAAAGCTAACAGAGGTTTGAAGCGGACGTTAGTATGGGATTTGGGTCATGTCGAGAAGGAGGAGGAAGGAGAGGGCAGATGAGTTGACTGAAGCACAAAAGGGGAGAGCTGGAAGAAGTTCTGAAGCTATATTCTAGCGTCTTCTAGGAGGTGCAGGGGCTGCCCCCGCACAGAGATATGGTGCACTGAATTCCCTTTAAGGAAGGGACAGACCCAGTAAACGTGCGTCCATATAGATACCCATATCTCATGAAGGGAGAGATGGAGAAACAGGTGGCAGATATGTTGAGCCGGAATAATCAGGCCTAGCACTAGCCCATACTCTAGCCCGGTTACTTTGGTAAAAAAAAAGGATAGCAGTTGGCGCTTTTGTGTGGATTACCGGGCATTAAACAGGGCAACCATACTAGATAAAGTTCATATCCCGGTGATAGAGGATCTCTAGATGAAATGAGAGACTAGATATATTTCCTAAATAGATTAAAAGCTCGGTATCATCAGATTTATGATGGGGATAAGGGATGTGCCCAAAACAGCCTTACGGACTTCACCCGGGCCCCTTTGAGTTTCTTAGTGATTGCCTTTTCAGCCTCACCATGCGCGCAGCCACTTTCCAGAGTGCAACGACTAGCTTTTTGTGCAATTCAGTATCTTAGGAGGGTTATCTGGTTTTCTTTGATGATATACTTTGTAATAGAACAGCCCTACTTGGGAGGAATCCACTTGACACGTGAAAGTGGTGTTACAGTGGGATTGGAACAACATACGTGGTTTGGCCAACAAAAGAAAATGTGCCATTCGGGGAAAGCAGATCCGAATGCTTGGGCCACAACAGATTTAGAAAAAGTGTGGATATGGATCAGTAGAAGATCAGGGCAGTTTTGGAGTGTGAAAGAACCAAAAGACTTTGAAGCCTTTAGAGGGTTTCTGGGCTTAACCGGTACTATAGGCGTTTGTGAAGGACTACGGGAAAGATGCAAACCGCCAGACAGAACTTTTGAAAAGGGGCAGATTTTTGGTTGGAAGTGATTAAGCCATGCTGCCATGGCCACGATTGAGGAAGTCTGTAAACTCTGCCCCACTTTTTTACGCTCCCAAATTTGGCCAAACTTCCATATCGAGTGTGCTTCTTCAGGAGCAGTAGTTTGGGGTCGGTTTTGACACAAGGGGGAAAGAAGCCCATTGCTTATGTGGTGGGGGTTCAGTAAGAGCAATTGTCCGAAGTTCCCTTAACAATCCATTTGTTAACAGAGAATTGAATGGTTTTAGTTTTTGGCAATTCCTCACTGGAGGCCATATCTGTTTGGGTTGGGCATAAACTTATAATGTGTAGACGGATCAGAAAGTTTGAAAGACCTTCTAGAAAAGAGGAAAACCACCCCAAATCACAAATTTGGATGGCAAAATCTTGGGCTATTACTGAGTTCTTATTAATGCTGGGAAACGAACCGG